TTTTGCGCTTTTTTTCGTTGTTATCGCTTTATTCTAGAGTAGTTCTATGAATTCTCGTCAAAAAAAGGGTACCCTAAATTCATCTTAAACGGTGCCTTTAAATTCAAGTCATTCCTGAAGTCGCCTAAATACCGAGCGATTTACAATCTCATCATCTCCGAAACAAATACTCCATGGAACCACGGGCTTGATGTTTTTAGTTGTTTATTATTTGAGTGGTATTTATGCGATTTTTCCATATTAACTCGTTTATCTAGTGAACGAGGTGAAAAAGTTATAATTTTTTACACCACTTCGAGATGTACATCTTGAGTAACTAAGTAATTTTCATAATCGCCTCTACCCTTTCTTTTACTCCACTGGGATATGAGACCCCTTGCTTTCTCCTTCATGTTAAATGCCTTCATTATCTAGGTCCTCCTTCTCAATCGATTTGCCTCTCGCTGAGGCTTTTCAACGTCTCTTATAGCAGAGATCACACCGATGTTCCTGGAATTTGCATAGGCATTGTCTATTAGGTGCTAATAAATCAGGCTACTTGGAAAAATTGAGTAAAGTTCACCTAATGGGGTTAGAAGTTGCATAATGAACCTTTTAATAAGTCAGAACGTTTCCCTTGGAAGAGGCGTGAGAGCATTGCTTATTTTTACTCTACAATGAGCTTCGAAGCATTCTTGCCATTGAAGTCAAATCAAAAAAAAAGGCAGGTGTTTCAGCTTTTGTAAGTTTTGAGCGAAAGAAAAGAGTTTTTTCATGTGAGCTTCCCTGAAGTAAGTCGATCGAAACTCGAGCAAACGCCTCATCTTCCCTTCCAAAAACATGTCTAGTTTGCTGTGCATAGGCATGGCACAGTTAACGTCACGCAGCTATTAAAGGAAAAAATTTCGATTCTTAAAGTTCGTGCCATATTAGCTGAGCTCCATTGTCTGTCCGTTTCTGATTTTTTTTGAATTACTTTAATTTTATAATTGTCGTGAATACTCAGTCAAGCATCATTCCTCTAAACATGTGTGTTATAGTTCTTATTCAGTATCACCCCTGCCATTCTCAAAGTTTGCAATTCGCAGAGGTATAAGCTCAACCCTGAGGGTTGAAATTTGCTTTGCAGGTGGGATGGCGGGGTTCAATTACGGGATCTAGCCTACTCCTCGGAACGTTTGGTCATTTGAATTGATATTTTGAGGGTAACTTACTGCAACTCTGTATATGAGAACAATGAAAAGAAGAAAAGTTTCTCTTTGTAAGTCTATTGACAAGAGGAGCTTTAATTAGAAAGCCGACGAATTCTAGTAATCCGTTAGTATTAACCAATAGCATTATATCAAAGGAGTGAGCATGAAATGACCCCAGATGAGCTGCTCGGCACTAACGAACAACTGCGCGGAGCTTTTATAGAAGAATGAAAGCATCTGAACAGAGATCTTCTCAGTCAACTGACTCTTTGTATTTGGAGCTCCGATAGGTCTTCAAGAGGTTGTTACTGTGGGTGATAGAAAATGAGCCATGCTTCAACTTATTGGTTTTCATATTTTTGTATAGAAGTGTAGACAAATCGAAATAATTTCTGAGGTGCTGGAGGTGTATATATGTTTTCCTACACATAGGTGTGATTATGAGAAAAGTGCATGTTCAGAAGACATGAAGCGTCCAAAATGGCTATGTACTCCTACAATTTTTCGTTTCATAATCATAATCGTTATATTCCAAAGTACTTGGCGAATGTTCTCTCTCAAAAAAACTAGATACGAAGTTTTTTTTNTTTTTTTTGAAGTAGGAAAATTTTAATGGGAGTTTGAAAAAACTAGCACTTCTTTATATGCTCGATTCTAACACCACTGAGTTTCAAAGCCTGTCATTTTCTTTGCCAGAAGAAAAACAAGTTTTCTCTTTTCTTTCGAGTTATAAAGAATTGTTAGGATTGCTCAGTTTTAGCACTTGCTCACGCTTTTTGTGCTACCATGTGGTCCATTATACTAGTGAAATATCCATGTCTTCAACCTCCTGTACCTCCTGCCAGGCACCGCTTTGAGAAGAAATCAATTCTTCCCAAAAACAAAATAGCCAATATCTACAAACTACTGCTTAGCTAAAGGGAATTCAGTGAGGAAAATCCAGAGATAAATGCTTTTGGAGTAAAGGACAGAGGATCAAGTCTTCGAGCCTTTATCAATCCCGTCTGAGGGTTGCGGCACCTTTTTTTGCGGTGGCCAGCCGATATATTTACTTTTACTATTAGAAATTCTGATGTCGTTCAGCTTGTCATGGTGATCCTGACGTTGCCCTTCTACGTGATAGCTGTACCTACGTAGTGCAGAGAGAGGGCGGTTGTTATATACGCGACATTCATCGGAATAGTCGGAATAGAGCTAACAAGATAGGTTCTTAATCATGTCGACATGAAATTTCTCTCGAATGAAAATCGTTATTGAAAAGGAAAAGGTATTCGAAAAAACTGTAATCACTAAAAGGTATGGTTCTCCACTGGAGCAAGTTACGTTATTAACAGAATTAAAGGCTCGCTGATTGTTGCTCACCAGCATATTCCATAGGACACGACAAGAATCAGAAGTATTTTGATGAGTCTCCGTCGGCCTTGCATCCGTCGGTCCCGTTCGCTTTTTCTTAGCAGGCACTTGATCTGAAACGGCTTGCAAAGCTTCAACTCCTTCATTACTGCGATCCCTCTTTTCTTTAAGAGTTTTAGTTAAGAGAAGATGTTGTTGGCCAGGTGAAATATCAAGAGCTGCTGATTAGTTTTGGACGAGCTCATTAAAAGCTTCTTTCAAGATAACTCCTACGAGACCGGCTTATCTGCTGATTATGTTTACAGGAAGCAGAATTTTTTCTTAATGAGAATGCAAAATTGTTGATAGCCAACATCAGAAAAGCTTCTCACCTGATGCTCTTCCTTCCGGATTCGACTGTAGATGCTCACGTAGCAAAAGACGATCAGCAAGGTTGGCGCTAATATTGTCCCAACGAAAATAACATAGACAAGGTATCTATAGTCGACCACTTTCGTGAAATAACATTGATCACCGGTAGCATGAAATGAGGATTCCGTCCTGGAACACGAGCGTTTAATTTTTTTTCATCTTCCAGTCACCTTTTTAGGCATCTTGGCGGTGCAGTAGGAAACCTACCGATACTCCCAGGTACCCTAGTGTTTCTGCTACAATAGTGACTAATCTGGTTGCAGAATCGAGAACAGATAGTAAATATGAAAAAAAGAAAAGGAGGGATTAGCGATAGAAGGTTTCTCTTATGTGGTATGCACAGGTAGGGAAACAAGAAGGTTCACTTCAAAGGGATGCAGTGGGGTACACCAGATTAAAAGCAAATAAGGGGAGCAATGAGGAGATTCCCTTCGATGCAAGTTAGTGGCCAAAGAATGTTCTTTAAAAAAATTCTTACATTTACTATGTAATCATCAGAATGTCCCTTACATTCAAAAATAGGGCTAATACTGGCAAAACCCCAATTAAAAATGTCTTGCGCTCGAGGATTCATAAATATTAGTGCTCCCGCCCATGCCCGATGTCGACTTGCCAATAATGGTCTGATAAAATAAGCTTTCTCTGATGTTCAAATGCCTATTTTCAGCCAGCTGACGTAATTCACACAGAAGAAGAACATGAGGTTATGTTTTTCTGTCAGAGGAAATCCATTTGGATCGAAATCAGAGAGGATCGAAAGGCCAGATTGGATAGAAGGCGGATCTGTCACAGCTAAAAATTCGCTTCCGTTGGAAAAAAANAAAAAAATGCAGTATTCTGCCGGCTGTGGAAGCAAGAAGAACGGAAAAATGATGATGTCATTCTCGTCTGCATTCCTTTCTTGGAGTGCGCCCTTCATTTGCTTCTTTCAGAATCGTAGTGACATTAAAATACGTACGCCTCATACCCAATGAATTACGGTAGCCAGCCAATGTACTGTCCCACACTTTTACACTCCTGACAAACGTGGTGTCTAATAACTGAATTCAGAGAAATGGAAAGTTGGCCTCGGCTCAAGGTACCGATACAGTATTCGTTACTGGGACCACGCGTACAATAGTGTTACACCTAATGCATCCTACTCCACTTGAATATGTGCTTATTGGATGTAGTACAATAATTATTAATAATTAGTACAATAAGTACACACGCATGGTCACGAGTTCAAATCCCGTATCGATATCCGCCTAGGTCAACCAAGCCTTCTATCCCTCCGGGGTTGGTTAAATGAATGATTTCGTACCAGACACTTTAGGAGCACTGTCTTGTACACCGACTGGCCACCGCAAGTCATTGTATAGGCCACATACGCATTCAATACGCCACTACGATTCTGAATGGAAGTGGAATGCGTGGGTGCATCTCTCAGAAGGGATTAAACAACGCCCAAAGACTTTATCCTTTTATCCTTCACAATAATTATTGAAACACATCCGGAATCATCCCTTCACTTTACTCACATACTACACGATTAAACTTATAACTGCTGCCATCAATGGGTTTATTCGATCCTTTCCGAGTATCCCACAATATTATTAATGAAAGGGAACTAGTGTCATGCCCATAGTGACTTATCTCACTGTTATAAGAACATATTGCCCGGCGACATTGCTGTCCTATTTCGCCCTCGTCAGAGTGGATTCTAAGTAATGTCAGCCATGATCTTCAGGAATGAGCAGTGCTTCAAAGCTTCTCAAAGTGACGTCGCCCTTTCGTGCCAGGACACGTACCAGGACACGTGTCAAAACGGAACTACGTTTTTCAGCTTGCTACTTTGCAGCCGCTAGTAAAATTAGCATCCTATGGGGTAGAGACGGACCTTTTTAATCAGACTCACATCAGCTTTATTGGTCTTTCAAGCTTTTATAGGTCTTCAATAATCGTTCCCTACCTGCAAATTATCCTCGAAAGCTCATCGGCCATCGAGATGACGACGAAATTGGCAAAAGAGTAAAGAGCGCAGCAGGATTATCACATCTATTTTGAGCAACAGCAAAGCGACTAGTAGTAAAGCCCTTTCGTGAACAAAACGAATCCGTATACTTTTGAAAACAATCTTTATCGGTGACTCGTGTGGTCCCGCTCGGAAGCGTCTCCATTGGCATCTTATTAGAGCGGAAACGACCCTTTCAGTATTTCCGGCCCTGCTATGAATAAATTATCTGGTTCACAGCGGCCATGATTTTTCTTTGAAGTAATATATGTAATAGTCATTTGACTTATTGGGCATGATGAGCTACTGTTCTCCACCGAGCGCCCAAAAAGAAAAAAGGAAATTGTGAGACTTCCTTCTCTTCGGTCAAGAATGCGGTTACTAGCAAAGTAGTGTAATACCCACCTAGGCTCACGTAGCTGTCTTCTCTCCTAGAGTTGGTTGACTTGTCTGAGTGGGTGAAACTAACTGAGTGACGACCTTATGCAGTGACCAATAAAAAAATGCTTTAGAAAAAATCAAGATGTTTAGATTGAGTTTAATTTCATGCTCAAAAAACTTCGTCTGATCGGGATTCCCAAGAGATACTTGAGAGCAGCAGCTTTTCTCCCTGATTGAAGCCCATGAGTAACTTTTCTCTATAGTTTTAAAAACAAGCCACATTGGTGATTCACATGAACCCACTCTTGCTCTTCATTGGCACTCTCATTGGCATCTTACATATTAAGGCGGAAAAGACTCCCCCAGAAAGACCGCTTGGAAGGAGCTCGATTCTGACGTTTTTCAGAATTGTAACCAGAAAGCATTCGCTTATACAGACGATTAACCAACTATCAGACCCCTGATCTCAAAACAGTTGAGAGAGAGGATTTCCTACTTTTCAGAAGGCGCCGCTCTCTTAAATACCAAAAAGAATTCTAAAAATAGGATAGTTTCTCTGCAAGGAATCTTCATGCAACTCCCATTTTCAAACTGGGGACTGAGAAAATACGTTTAATGCAATTCCCAAAACTACACAAGTCCTTAATCTGCTCCCCTTTCTTAATACTTCTACCGCGTCGCTTGATGACGACTTTCTATGAGAAATCATTCAACAGAGGATTCATCGGATTATTTTCGGAGAAGAAAGTGCGTGTACAAATGCAGGTAGGTCGGTAGCCAATGAGACTTTTTGGTGACTTTGGTTTGTTTGTGGAAGTTGCGATATTTCAGGCATCGCCTTTTAATTTCCTATTGACTACTTCTGAACAATACTAGTTGATTACCACAAAAATGGTGACAATCCACTGTATGACAAAACGTACAAAAACCAAAATCGGCTCTGGTTCTTTTTCCAGATAGCTAGACCAGGTTTCATGCTGCGAGCAGATGCTGATCTTAAGAGCATTGCTTCCCTGACAAGTCGAATGTAGTTAATCTCAGCGCGATTAGCGATTCTGTGCTCCCGCTGTTCTCTGAATAAGCACTTCAGAGTCTTCTCTACGTGCCTTTAGCGAAGATCATCCACCATCGGCATAAGTGTTCTTCCGGTGGATGACATCGGCAAAGTAATCGCAATTTCGTCTCGGGGCTCATCAACAAGAGTGATGTCGTTTTTGCAGCTATACAACTTTCTCCCCATTTGAGAAACGACCACATAAACAGGGCGAAGCGCGAACTGCTTGCTTAGCACGAAGATCCTACGTTGTTCTTTCGCCTTCGCATTAAGTATAAACGAATGCAGGTGCGGCTATAGTTCTCATGATGGCTTCCAAGTTTCGTGCTTTTTTCGACACGAATCAGCAAAGGAGGAAATAGACTTCCGTCATTGTCTGAGGGTTTTTTGCCTTGGCAGAAGGGCAATTTCCGATTGGGTCGAAGCGATGTCATTTGATTCAGTTTTTAGTAACCATCAGAGAAGACCTTCGCCTTGCGGCAGTAATTAACAAAGAAGCAGTCGTTTGAACATCTCAGTACATCTCTACCACATTCGCATTTTACTCCTCTCTGGGGCGTATATGTATATTTTCGGAAACTAGTCTGCAACGATAACAGTTATAAGTTTAATTGGACAGTCGGATCGAATACTCAGAGACTAGCAAGTACGCTTGCTTAGCCTGTTACTGAAGAAGTAAAAGAATAGTAGAAGAATCAACTTTTTTGGCTACGCTACAATTATGCCTTCGAAGAGGAAGAGTTTGCGTCCCGGGGCCCTGCACAAAGCCGTCCGTAGATAAAGTTCAGCATGGAATCCGTACAGGCAAAGAAAAATTGCTCCATAGAACATAAAAGGGAGCTATCCAGTTATCGAGAAAAAAGAAGAATTTCTAGGTAAAAAAAACCTCCTAGAACTTTAACGCTGATTCCGACATTTTGAGTCTGGATTCCTTTGGAAACTCCAAAATCCGGCGCTACTTTCCTCACAGTTTCTCTTACAGTCTACCAATACTTGGCGTCAAGGAGGTTATCCCAGTTTGAGCCGCGCCATTGGCGAGTTTCCTGATGTGGAGGGATCATTGCGGTTGATGTAACGAAAAACCACCCTAGATGGAAGAGCGTGTATGAGGGAATGATTTGCTCGATAACTTGCAGGCACATTCAAAGAAAAAGTTGAACGGATTCTGTTCTGTGAGATAAAATCCTCTTTAATATCTGTGGATTCGGTCCCCGCAGGATATGAGCAGCCTTTGAACTTCTTCCCACGGATTCCCATTCTCCCTCGCTACTGCGTTTGGCCGGAAACGTCGTTTTGGCCTGATCACTCAAGGAAAAGTTTGTAGAAGTGCAAGCATAAAAAGGAATGGGAGATGTAGCACAGGAGCACGAAAAAGACGATTTTCTCACAGACCAAAAAGAATTCTGCACAAATCTAATATAATGAACAATTTATGATTCATGTTTGACGTAAGATAACCCACTCAGCAAAGCCGAAAGCGTTGAAAAGAGGAAGTATAGCGACTGCCGTTCCTGCTACCCATGACAATGCAATCAGAAATACAGCTCGTGTGCGCCTGGAAGCGAACAGATCAGCAAATACTGAGCAACACCATGAACCACATTTTACAAACGTTTTTGACGTATTACATTGGCAAACTCGTCCGATTTCAAACCACCCATATCTAAAGACGTTATAACACGAAACTGATACAATGGCCTTTGTTTAATAGAACATTCGACTTGACTTTAATTAAATACATCCATTCTACGGAAGATATTCTTTCTTTTGATATTCCTTGATTCAAGAAATGTGTGCACCTTCTATCTGTTTTATCACTTGAACCATTGACTAATTATGAATTTTGTTGCAACAAACCACTCTTTTAATCAGGTTCGACTGATTATAAATAAACTTAAAAATCAACAGGTAAATAAGTATTGAAAAATTTCTTTTGTATTTCTGGGGCTTGACTAGAAGCTAAGAGGATTGAGCTGCAACGTTTGCGAAGTTTTCTCTTTCGGGTGACTCCCCGTAAAATTGACTACTAGTCGACGAAAATCTTCGAAGCAGTCAATGATATTCTTGAAATACTGAAGGGATCTAGAGAAATCTGAATGATTGTCTTTTCATCAGGGACAGAACTACATTTCCCGGTAATTAATTGTTTACTTTGATGCATACATCATAATTTCTTCCAGGAAAGCTCGTAGAACTTGACGCGTTACTACTACTGCATTACTTCTACTGACAAAAACCTCCTAATTGCAGTGAATCTTCATCTTTGATGCGGCCATATATAAATTCTCCAGCTCTCCAGCGGCCAACAGATCAAAAAACAGTAGATGTTCGGGGCTTATCTTATGAGGGGCATCTTACTGAGGCGACTATATGAATGAGCCCCTTGCAAGGGTGAGATTATGCCATATGAATTATGAACGTTATCACCGAAGATCATCCCTAGTGCTCTGCTCTGCAATTAATAAGGAAATCCTTCCAAATTATTGGAAATTTCTACAAAATGCTTAATTCCAAAGAGGGGTCCAAAGAGGAAAAAGGAGAAGTGATGATTCTGCTCCTGCTAAGAGATCTTGATTACATCAAAACTAGAGAAGGTATAAAGGAATTAGAAAATAATCTCATTTGAGGGAAATTTCTAGTATATTCATGGTACTCCCAAAAGCGTAGGGTATTGTTATGGAAAGGTAGTTAAACTTACTTCCATTTAAGGTTGGAGGGCATAGGTAGTACCGCGATTTCCCTCGAACTCAGGTTCTAGCAGTATAATATTCTATTTTCAATAAACGTGTTTGATATAGATATTACACTGACTACAACTGTAGCTCATTGACAACGTTTTTTTTCTAAGACTTTTCCCGATCCAAGACAGCTGGGAAAATCTCCACTAGGTTCTATTGGCCTATCCGTATGCTCCATGGAGATCCTAAAATAGATCCGTATCTGGATCCCAGAAGAACTTCCCCTCGAAACAAAGATGTTATTGGTTCATAGGATCCTTCCGAGATTGCCAATAAGGTTTGAAAAAGAGTTTAATTGGCTGCTTCAAAGCTTCAGTAAAGCGTATAGGTATTTCATTAGGGCTATGTACACAAATAGCAACAGCCACCCAGGACTAATATGTATTTACCATTAAAACATGCAGAATGCAATATCTACAGTAATACGTCAGAAAAAAGCGAAGTATTCATCCGCACCTATTTCGCTTTTTTGCAATAATTAAGGTCAATGAGAGGTAAATTTCCAACCGGTTCTGCTAACGACGATTTCCCAGAAGAACATATCCACGTAAATGATTTGTTGCGATGTGATGTCTCCCAAATGCAGTTTCCAAAAGATATTGGATGGTAGTAGAGGTTTTCGAATATTCGTACCCATCCCCACGATATAATCACTGACTACTTTGCCGAAAATGCAATGGCACCACAAGTGATTGTGAGATTCTGGCACCTATCCGAAAAACTTCTTGATTTCATAAAAGAGTTAGAAGCGTAGCACAGTGTTCGAAAAAGTCAATGCCAATTATCTTGATTCCTTTGCCCTCGGATTGTTGTACCAACTTTTTTGTTCAACAAAGTGTCAGCGAATTCCAAAGAAAATCACGTAATTATCTCAGTCAGTCCCTGAAAATCAAAGAAACTGACATACGATCCTTTCAAACTGCCACTGCCACTTCGCAAGGACTTCCTACGACGTCTCACAATTCTGTCAGACCAGAGCAATTCTAAGGAGACCCCAATGAATCGCTAGCTTCAATTTTGATTATATTACTGAGTTTGTTGTTGTCTTGTACTCTTCACGAGGTTTTCAAATAACCTCTATTAGGCTGACGTTTCGGCGGAATCGCCTTCTACAGAGCCTGAAAGGATCATAACAATCTGTGACTATCCGATCAAACGTCTGTACCAACCCACTAAGTTCGAGACTCCCAGGGCACACAGGTGGTCGAAAGGAGAAACACTCACCGTAACTTTGTGGATTCTTCGAAACCACCCAACAAGTAGTGGTACCAACCGACCAGTGTCAGATGGGGTACGTCTTCATTAAAATTCATCGTCTTGACTTCTTCAAACTCAGTAATATAATCATGCCGAGGTTCATAGAAAGCCGTACAAGGAACTTACTTCGCGACGTGCCAACTCAATTTTGATTGTTACTTCGAAGCCCCACATGGATACATAGACCTTTCTCAACAAACAAAATCCGCTCATTAGAGGTCAACATGGTATTCCTTCTCCTAGATAAGGCACCTATGTACTAACGAATGCCTATAAAGGGAAAATCGCTAGTGAGGGACTTCCTCACACCTACACTAGAAGAATTAGCATTTCCAAGAAAGAAATGAACAGCGCGAGAGCAACTTTTCAAGCCCCCCCTTCTCCGAAAAAATCGAATTAATATTTTCAACAAAAATTTGATGATTTCTTCAAGAGGATTGTTTTTGTTTTTATACTAGAATTCAAAAATGGATCATCGTCGTTCATCAAATTTCTATGGAAGCCCAATTAGCCATGCCCTTCTGGGAAAGATGTTCTGGAAATTGGGAGCTTCCTTGATTTTGAGCTGGTAAATATGTATTATACGTACACATGTGTTTTTAGTAGGAAAGCAGATTTGATGGAGCAATTTAATAATGCATACTACGTAATTCTTATCGCTTTCACCACCAAAATTATAAAAAACTGCAATGAAACCATGAAAGCACAGCCATGTTCAAAACTAAAAGTCCTCAACAATATCACATTCTCTCGTTTCAGATTATCATAGTCCCATGAATTTTTCAAAGTATTATAAAATGTGTCCTAACACAAGCTGCCATTTTAAATTGCCTGATTGCCCTTTATTCGTAAATAAAGCCTTAGAAGTCTCAAGGGCTCTCGTCAACAAAGAAATTGCTATTTTAAGTTGCCAAGTTGCTCTGCACTCAAAATAAAAAACGTGAAAAGCCTCTTGGAAATTTGCCAGTAATGGAAAGTAAGTGCACTTAAACTCGATACAAATGTCTGCAGAAAATTTAGACATTTACAAAAGTGAAAAATAAGTGCACTTAAACTCGATACAAATGTCTGCAGAAAATTTAGACATTTACAAAAGTGAAAAAATCAAAAGGCTAAAAAGGGACCGAAGTGAGCCAGCGATAGAACGATGCATCGAAATTGCTATTTTAAGTTGCCAAGTTGCTCTGCACTCAAAATAAAAAACGTAAAAAGCCTCTTGGAATTTTGCCAGTAACGGAAAGTAAGTGCACTTAAATTCGATACAAAAAATAAATTTTTTTGCAGAAAATTTTGACATTTACAAAAGTGAAAAAGTCAAAAGGCTAAAAAGGGACCAAAGTGAGCAAGCGATAGAACGATGTATCAAAATTGCTGTGGTTTCATAGAATTAACAGAGAAATGGCGAAAGTCCACTACATCAGATGCTTCCTCAAGGGGCAGAGGTGGTGTAGTGGGAAGGGCGCACTTTACACACGCATGATCTTGGGTTCAAATCTCAGATACCTGCCTAGGCCGACCAAGCCTTCCATTCCTCCGTGGTCGGTTAATTGGTATCAGGCTCGTCTGGGAGGATAAAAACACTGACTTGACATCGGTTGGCCACCGCAAGTCATAGTGTAGGCCATACGCTTTCAATACACCGCTACGATTTTGAAAGGAAGTCGAATGCGTGAGCGCTTTCCTCAGACGGGTTTGATTAACTCCCTAAGAATTCATCCTTGATCCTTCATTGCTAACAGTATGTGTATGATACTAATGAATAGTAACGGTAACACTGGGGGTATTATGAGCCTTTTTCAGGTTGGTTGCAGTAGGTTCATCTATTTCATCAGAAATCTCTGGTCTATGAAACTCTGGTGCTCGGGACTACAGCTAACTTTTCACAAAATGTTAAAAGGCTTATCAGCCTAAAAGTACAAATAACGTGGATTACCATGGAGATTGCTTCCGATATATACATAATCTGGAAGTTGTTTCCAGTGCTTGTGCTAATCTCCACCGTCACCAGCAGCTAGCCATTTTACTTATCCAATCAAGCCAATCAGCAAATAGCTTTGCTCATAGACAAGTATAGACTCGCATTTGCTACTGCCTGCTGGGAAAGGGTATGAGTATTACTCAGGGAGGGGGG